CTACTCTAGGTTTAAAGTGTACTAAGCTCTAGTGGGAAAAGAGTGTTCCTTTCCTCAAGAAACACAGGACAGTGGGACAGAAAGACATACACCCATGAAACAAATTACTAGCTTTACATAATAAATGTCATTTTTTTATTCAACAAAAATATTGAATATTTTCTATGAATCAGGGCCCGTGCTGAGTTGGAACTGGGGATACATAATTAAATGAAATAGACTCTGCTTTCAAGATACACATAGGCAAATGGAAAAACACAGACAAGTAAACAATAGTTACACTGAACTGTAAGAAGGGATGATAACAGCAGAAATGGGACCAAGGAGTTGGCAGAGGGGTCTGTGAGGCTTGTGGGAAACTTCAGAGAGGAAATGAATTCTGAGAGGCACCACTAAAAGGAACCAGAGGCAGGGCGTTGGTGGCTCATTCCTATAATCCCAGCACTTTGAAAGGCCATGAGGGGCGGATCACTTTGGGCCAGGAGTTCAAGACCAGCCAGGACAACATGGTGAAAACCCATCTCTACTAAAAATACAAAAATTAGCCAGGAGTGGTGGCACACACCTGTAATATCAGCTACCTGGGAGACTGAGGCACAAGAATCGCTTGAATCCGGAAAGTGGAGGTTGCAGTGAGCCGAGATCACACCATACTCTGGCCTGGGTGACAAAGCCAGACTCTCAAAAAAAAAAAAAGAAGAAAGAAAGAAAAAGAAAATTGTGTTCCAGCATTCATCTGTTGAAATAGGATCACCCCTAAACCCACTAAACCTCTTCAATTCCAACTTGACTCCTTGCTTTAATGAGGAATGTTTAAAGAAAATGTCCTAACTGGGGCCTCAATGTTTACCCTTTGTTACTGAATTAAGACATACCTCCACTATATTTGTGGGCTTGATTATTTTTAAATTAATTATGCATTCAAAAGTCTAAACAGACTACTATCTTTTTGTTCTTTAAGGAATCTCCACACTGTTTTCCATGGTGGTTGCCCCACTTTACATTCCCACCAGCAGTGTAAAAGTGTTCCCTTTTCATCACATCCACACCATCTATTATTTTTTGATTTTTTTGATTATGGTCATTCTTGCAAGAGTAAGTTGGTATTGCATTGTGGTTTTGATTTGCATTTCCCTGAGCATTAGTGGTGTTGAAAATTTTTTCATGTTTATTGGCCATTTGTATATCTTCTTTTGAGAATTGTCTATTCATGGCTGTAGCCCATTTTTTAATGGGATTGTTTGGGTTTTTATTGCTAATTTGTTTGACCTTGTAGACCAATTCTGGATATTTGTCCTTTGTTGGATGTATAGATTGTAAAGATTATCTCCCACTCTGTGGGTTGTGTTTATTGTGTTCATTGTTTCTTTTGCTGTGCAGAGGCTTTTTAGTTTAAGTCCTGTCTATTTATCTTGTTTTTGTTGCATTTGCTTTTGGGTTCTTGGTGATGAAGTCTTTGCCTAAGCCAGTGTCTAAAAGGTTTTCCAATGTTATCTTCCAGAGTTTTTATGATTTCAGGTCTTAGATTTAAGTTCTTGATCCATCTTGAGTTGATTTTTGTGTAAGATGAGAGATGAGAATCCAGTTTTATTCATCCATATGTGGCTACCCAATGATCCTAGCACAGTTGGTTGAATAGGGTATCCTTTCCCCACTTTATGTTCTTGTTTGCTTTGCCAAAGATCAGTTGGCTGTAAGTATTTGCGTTTATTTCTGGGTTCTCTATTCTGTTCCATTGGTCTATGTGCCTATTTTAAACCAGTACCATGTTGTTTTGGTGATTATGGCTTTATGATAATGATGGATTATCTTTTCAATATTCTGTTGGATTCAGTTAGCTAGTATTTTGTTAAGGATTTTTGCATCTACATCCATCAGAGATATTGGTCTGTAGTTTTCTTTTTGTATGTCCTTTCCTGGTTTGGGTATTAGGGTGATACTGGCTTGTATGATTTAGGGAGGATTCTTCTTTCTCTATCTATGGAATGGTGTCAATAGGAATTTGATCCAGCAATTCCACTACTGGATATATCTACACAGAAAAAAAGGAAGTCATTATGTAAAACAGATACTTGCACACACATGTTTATAGCAGCATAATTCACAATTGCAAAAATATGGAACGAGCCCAAATGCCCATCAATCAACACGTGGATAAAGAAATTGTGGTATAGATACTCCATGGAATACTACTCACCCATAAAAAGGAAGAAAATAATGGCATTTGTAGCAACCTAGATGGAATCAGAGACAATTATTCTAAGTGAAGTAACTCAGGAATGGGAAAGCAAACATTGTATGTTCTCTCTCATAAGTGGGAGCTAAGATATGAGGATGCAAAGGCATAAGAATGATACAATGGACTCTGGGGATTTGGGGGGAAGTGTGTGTGGGGAGGTGAAGAATAAAAGACTACAAATTGGGTACAGTGTATACTGCTCAGGTGATGGGTACAACAAAATCTTAGCAGTCACCACTAAAGAACTTATTCAGCTAAGCAAACATTGCCTGTTACCCAAAAACCTATGGAAATAATAATTTTTTTTTTTTTTTTTTTGCGACAGAATCTCACTCTGTTGCCCAGGCTATACTGCAGTGGTGTGATCTCAGCTCACTGCAACCTCCACCTCCTGGGTTCAAGTAATTCTGCTGCCTCAGCCTCCTGAGTAGCTGAAATTACAGGCACATATAACCATGACCAGCTAATCTTTGTATTTTTAGTAGAGACGGTGTTTCACCATGTTGGCCAAGCTGGTCTCGAACTCCTGACCTCAGGTGATCTACCTGCCTTGGCCTCCCAACGTGCTAGGATTACAGGCATGAGCTACCACACCCAGCTAGAAATAATTTTTTTAAAGGCTACTGTCTGAACTCTGAAGACCACTTCCTCCAGTCCCATCTGCAATTCAGCTGTCCCATCCCTGTGCTGGGGCTGTCTATAATAATTCCTAATATTAAGCATCCTTGCTTAAGGGCAGACAAAGACAGTTTCAGAGTTTTAAAAGATTTTATCACTAGGAATAGTTATTTGGTCCCAGATCTATCCTCTTGGGAGATTCAAAACTTTTTTTAGTTTAAACCCTGCTCATGCATTTAAAAAATTGACTTTTTATGTGCAAGTTCCTAGATAAATGAAAGAGAGTGCCACCTGCCAGGAACACGAAATTTCTGAACTTGCATATTGAATTGCAAGTTTCCTGAACCCAAAGCATTTGAATCGAACTGGGACCCTCTGGTTAAAAATGAGGACTCACAGGCTCTAGGGCTACAGAATTTGTATTTTGAAATAGTTTTGGGGTGCCTTGAGGTTTAAGAAACAAATGTCTTAGTTCCCAAACTTGCCTGATAAGAATCACATGGGAATTTTTGTTTCTTTGTTTCTTTGTTTGAGACAGTGTCTCATTCTGTCGCACCCCAGAGCGCAGTGATGCAATCGTAACTCACTGCAGCCTTGAATTCCTGGGTTCAAGTGATCCTCCCACCTGAGCCTCCCAAGTAGCTGGGACTAAAAGCACCCGACACCATGCCCTGCTGATTTTTGTATTTTTCTCTTGCTATGTTGACAAGCTGGTTTTGAACTCCTGGGCTCAAGTAATCCTCTGGCCTTGGCCTCCCAAAGTGCTGGGATTATAGACATGAGCCACTGTGCCCAGCCAGAATGCTTGTTTAAAATATTTTTCCTCTGATTCACATTACAGGCCTACTGAATTCGTATTTCCAAGAAAGGTGTCTGGGGCTTGAGATTTGTATAAGACCATCAGATGAATATTAAAGAGCTGAAATAGATTCTCTATACCAGTGAAGAAGAACACAATTGTTGTTGTTGTTTAAGCAGATAATTGATAACTAGTATGTGAAACATCTAGGTCTGGGGATTTGGTGACATTACCACATCAGGTTTTCCCTGGGTTCTCTGTCCCATAATTCAGCTCTGTAGTCTTAAGTTCCATCCCATTTCCTAAAATTCTTGCCATTAAACCCTAGGCTCCCGGGCTGGGCATGGTGGCTCAGGCCTGTAATCCAAGCACTTTGGGAGGCCAAGGTGGGTGGATCACCTGAGGTCAGGAGTTCAAGACTAGCCTGGCCAACATGGTGAAGTCCCATCACCACTAAAAATATAAAAATTAGCTGGGCATGGTGGCCTGCGCCTGTAGTTCCGCTACTCAGAAGACTGAGGCAGGAGAATTGCTTGAACCTGGGAGGTGGAGGTTGCAATGAGCCGAGATTGCGCCACTGCACTCCAGCCTGGGCAACAGAGCGAGACTCCATTTCAAAAAATCAAAACAAATAAACAAACAAAAAAACCAAAAACCCAGGCTCTGAATGGCTTCCTCTGATACCAGCTAACACATTTGTGGTGCCAACTGCCTGATAGGCAGAGCTTCTGTTGGAGAACCCTCCCACGACCTATCTTGTTTGCTTTGTAAACCATTTTATTAGGTTGGTGCAAAAGTAATTGTGGTTTTGCCATTGTTTTCAATGGCATTGAAAACAATGGCAAAACCCATAATTACTTTTGCACCAACCCATTACCTGGGCTGCACTCACCCCAATTTTCTCCTGTGACTTAGCATCCTAGGTTTGGACCTACGTTTGGAATTTCATTGTGTCCAAAATAACCAAAATCCAGCTTTGAGCAGCGGTCAGATGCTGAAACTGAGCTGTCCTAAGATCTATCTGGATTTGGTCCAAGGTCCTGCCCTATCACAATATTTGAGCAGACACATAAGATGCGTCATTCTCTTCCTAAGACACATGAGATAATTGTCTTCTCTTCTTCAAGTTAAATAAAAAGTCCCACTTTAAAGTAACCTTGCGGGATTTAAGAAAAAAAAAATGTTAGCTGCACAGTTAAGCCCAGGGTAGCATGGGTTAAAAGAAATACAAACAGAGCCTTAAATACATATCATAGGCCATGAATATTGTCGAGGGAGAAACAGAATGCAAAATTTCCCAAAGTTAACCACAAAATCCATTTTTTTTTTTTTCTTTTTTTGTAGGTCATTCTATGAGACTAACTATCCCTAACCGTCCTGCAGAACATGCTTTGGGGAAGTATTATTTTTTCTTTTTCATAACAACTTTGGGGCTTTGTTTTAAATTGTCTGTGCTTCTCTTTAGCCATGAGGTTCAGAACCAATACCTGTGTCAGGAATGGGCTAATCTAGGTTGCACAGGATGGAAGGAGACTTTACAGTTTCCATACCATTGGTTTCTTTTTCAACAACTGAGTGTTCTGTTTGATCAACTGCAAAGCAGCTCTGCTGACCACAGCATGCCTATTTACCTACCACCTTTCTCAGCTTTCCTTGCATTCCACAGTATTTCCTTTTTTACGTTTGACGCATTTCTCCCCCAGATGTACCAACCTGCAGAGTGACTCAAAGAACGGACAATGGCTTTTGGTCAGTGGTTTTCCAGTAGCTCTGCAAAGCTTTGGGTGTCCACCAAGTTCCTCAGAAGCTGCCTGAAAATCCATGAACTGGCTCTAGACCCTTCCACCCACCCACCCCCGCCCCCGCACCCAAAACAAGCTTTCTGCTTCTTTGTGTTTCATATCATGGCCTGTATAAGACTGGAATAAAGAATTTCTCAACTCAGCAATTTGAAAACCATTCATTTAAATTATCTCCTGTTCTCAGGCATATCATGTTAAGTGTCCCAAGAACAACCCAGATAGTTTGCATAATACTGCGATGTAGCAAGCAAAGCTTTTGAAATCATCTCTGGGCTCTCTGCTTAGTGACTCTAAACTTTGCAGCAGGAGCTATGGAAGCCACACTTCATCCCAGATTCAGAGAAAAGCCTGGCACTTGTTAGCAAATAGTTAAGGAGTCTCAAACGAGTAACTCTTGCACTGCCTGCTACTCCTCACCTGGCTCTGAAAACCTGGTGTCCAGAGCCCTGCCTGGAAACCTGCAGTCCTGATAACTGGGTCCCTGTCTTGACTCTCTGCATCATCCTTCAGTTCTTACAGGCTCAGGCTTTCCTTGCCCCCTCCCCCAGCGTTCTGGAAACCGGAGTCTTCTACCACTCACTCTGGGAGGGGCCCGTTCCCTGAATGCTGTTTACCACCCATGTTCTCGCCAGTTGCCAGGGCTAGGCACTGTTTGATGTCTGGTTCTGAGCCATTCCTGGTTTGACATACTCTTGCTCTGACCTTCCCTCTCATCTAAGAAGCTTATTGTCTCTGCCAAGCCCAGACTTAGATTGTCTTTAAAATCCAAATGTATATGTATCTATGTAAATAGAAAGGTCTCCTATTCCCCCGAGCCTTGAACAGACAATGGACCCTGTACCTTGCATACACAGGAGCTGGTTCTATGTCCCCAGGACTTGACACCGTTAGGGACAAACCTACCTCCTCCCCATGTACCCTCCTACCAATTCAACATGGAATGTGATGCCTTGACAATGGAAGCATGTCTTACTCCCTACACTTGGGCTGAGTTCACATCCCATTTAAGGCTATGCATATGCCTTTTCCAGATGGTTTTCTTTGTCCAAGGCCCTGAAATTTGTCTCCTTTCCTAACAATGTTGCCACTGTGTTCTGCCACCATTTTGGAAAAACTTCTCTAACAACCATCATTCTTGCTTTTCACCTCTTAGGATCATTGGCCTCGTTGAGATCTTCATGAAAGCTACAGACTGGTGCTGTCCACTATGGTAGCACTAGCTACTTGTAGCTATTCAAGTTTAAAATTAAATTAAAAACGGAGACGGAAGAATCACTTGACCTCAGGAGTTTGAGACCAGCCTGGGCAACATGACGAAACCCTGTCTCTACCAAAACTACAAAGAATTAGCTGGTCGTGGTGGTGGGCACCTGTGGTCCCAGCTACTCAGGAAGCTGAGGTGGGGGGACTGCTTGAGCCAGAGAGGCAGAGGTTGCAGTAAGTCAAGATCATGCCACTGCACTCCAGCATGAGTGACAGTGACACCCCCATCTCAAAAATAATTATTTAATTAATTAAAATTAAATAAAATGTAAGAATCGGTTCTTCGGTCACAATAGCTAGATTTCAAGTTGCAGACACGTGGTTAGTGGCTTCTGTATTCGATAGCACAGATATGGAACCTTTTCTTTAACTCAGAAAGTTCTATCCAACAGTGCTGCAGAGATGCACAGACCCTCTCTCCAGAATATGCAAACTTGTACTTACATTTAAAATATTGGGCCAGGCATGGTGTCTCATGCCTGTAATTGCAGCTACTCAGAGGCTGAGGTAGGAGAATCACTTGAAACCAGGAGGCAGAAGTTGTGGTAAGCCAAGATCATACCATTGCACTCCAGCCTGGACAACAAGAGTGAAATTCTGTCTCAAAAAAAAAGTTGCAGGCAATTTTAGGTGATTCACAGACACCCCCGCTTCCTAAGCCCACCTCCCCAAGTTGTTAGAAACCCCTCTCTAATGTGAATGGGGTCTGGGCGTGGTGGCTCACACCTGTAATTCCAACACTTTGGGAGGCTGAGGCGGGCAGATCACTTGAAGTCAGGAGTTTGAGACCTGCCTGGCCAACATGGTAAAACCCAACTCTATTAAAAATACAAAATTAGCCAGGAGTCGTGGCACACGCCTGTAGTTCCTGCTACTTGGGAGACTGAGGTGGGAGGATCACTTGAACCTGGGAAGTGGAGGTTGCAGTGAGCCAAGATAGTGCAACAGCACTCCAGCCTGGGTGACAGAGTGGGACTCTGTCTCAATAATAATAATAATAATAACATGGATGGGGAGCACATGGCTATCCTGAAGTCTGTGGAGGAAGCAGGTATCACAAAAATCTCAGTTCAGA